GAGGCTATATTTCTCTTTGCACAATTAAATAGAGCACAAAATTTCCAAAATATCAGCGTAAACCGCAATTACCGCCTAACCGGAGATATTAAGAGAACAAATCATGTTAGGCTGCCGCTTAGGATTATATGGTCTAAAAATTATAGTAGTAGACTAGGAAACAAAAAGAGGTAAATTGGTTACGTCAAAATATCAAAACGTTTAAGTTTAGTTTTCATGCATCCGAATTTCGGGCGTTTTCTTAAAAAAAATGACGTCATAATTAAGCATGTGTATTTTAATATACAAACAATCTTCCCAGATAAACAATGGTTTAAACATTTCCAGTATATAGATAGAAGACATATTACAACGTTAATTAGAATGCGTACAGGCCATTGCTTAACAAAAAACCATTTATATAAAATTAAAGTGAAGGAAGATCCATTCTGTGAGTGTGGCTCTGTTGAAGACCTAAATCATATCTTTTTAGAATGTCCTATAAATTTTTTGTTTAATTTGGATTTATATCAAAAATTTATTGAAATGAATTTTCCTACTCCACTATCAATATTTACAGTTTTGTCTAAGCCAAGTGAAAAATTAATAGAAACTATTATGATATTTTTAAACATTAATAGAATTAAATTATAATGCTCAACTTTCTATTTTTTATTTTCTTTTTGTTTCAGTTTCCGAATGCAGTCTGTTTGTGTGACCTCTATCCTATGTGCCTTTGTGTGTGATATAATCTTCCTTTCAGCACGTCATTTATATATTTAATAAATAATAATAATAACATTTTACAGTCACAGGTCACAGGTTACCTTCATAGAAGTTAGTTATATTAAAATTTACCCATTATACATTTTACTCAGATAAGAATCAGTGGCCTTGATATGGTTTAGAGCCAGTCAACATCTTGGTCACTCCCAAATTGAGCTGGCGGTTGCCTTGTAGCAGAGCCATCATAAAAAAAGAAGAAGAAGAAAATGTCCGAAAGTCAGACAATCAATAATTTTATTAAAATTTCTAAGAATTTTGTGCCGCCATATTGCGTTTAACAGAGAACTAGGGATTTATTTCATGTAACGTCATTTAGTTATTAATCCAAGTTCGTCCTTGATTTCACTTTTTTCGTGTTTTACCTGTTCTTTGTGTTATTTATTATTGTATTATAAAGATTATGTCGTTTGGGTCACTTTTCATATAGCACCGAACGAAGGTGCGAATCTTAACAATATGCACTACTGGTTCAAATCTACCCTCGATGCAAGTAGTTTAGCACCAAGACCGTTGGTCGGTAAATGTTTACGCAGGATTTCTAGGATGGCGAATGATTGGACTTTTTTAATTATCCGAATGAAATGAACTATCCATAATTTCTAAGAGATGAATTGCCAATTTTGTTAGAGGATCTATCATGATGAAATTGCATTTGTTGCAATTTCATCAGCATGAATGTAATTGGTGTAGTTGAGGCAGCGGTGCTGCTTATTTTGCTATGAATGTGTGGGGCTTCTTGGATACCACTTACTTTAGTAGATAGAGACGCTGGAGCGGCATATTTCCATAGCTGGGTCGTCGGATTCAATATGCTTGGGTTTTAATTTATGGGGTCGAATCAAGAACGAACATGGATAAATAATAATTAAATGGCATTAAAAGGAAATTAAAATATATGGTTTGGTATTTTGACGTAACCAATTTACCTCTTTTTGTATCCTAGCCTACTACGATAATTTTTAGACTATATAATCCTAAGTTGCAGCATAACATGATTTGTTCTCTTAATATCTCCGGTTAGAGAGCAGATTTAGAATTAGAATTAGAATGAGTGGGAGGGGGGTTAATCACTTCGACCTTACAGATCCATTGTGTCCCCCTTTCTTGAATCATAACTCATCATACAGTCCCAGGGCTTTGACAAAAGCCAGTATCTGGGACGGTTTTATAGAGGGTAGTTCTCCATCTCCAATATCAGTCGTACCAAAATTCATGGCACGAATGGTTGTCGTCTCGGCGCACTCAGTGATGAGGTGTACTGGTGTTTCCCCATCTTCCCCACAGAATCTGCATTCGCCGTTTCCTCTTAGTTTCAATCTACTGAGGTGTCCATTGAGGAGACAGTGTCCTGTTAAAAACCCCGTGACAATCCGAAGATTGTTCTTACTCAGACCCAGGAAGGTCTGTGATTTTTCTTGATCATAAGCCCTCAGAAACTTCTTCGAGTGTCTTAGACCATTACAAGATTTCCATTCCAGGTTGCGGATGGAATCTTCCAAGTTCTTGAGTTCCGCCTTGAGTTGGTTCCCACTTGGAAAGCAGAACGGTTCTGGTCCAGTTAGTGGAGTGTTCGCTCCTTTCCTAGCTAGATTATTTGCTTTTTCATTGCCTTCTATCCCTTGGTGAGCAGGCACCCAGTGTAGGAGGACTTTGTTTTCTTTCCTAATTTATTCAGCTTCTCTATGCATTCTTTGACCAATTTCAAATCGATTGATACTGAGTTGATCGCCTTTAACGCTGCTTGACTATCAGATAAGATGGCTATTTCTTGTTTCCGATAGTTCCTATCTAAGATAAGTTGTACGCATCTCTCGATAGCGTAGATTTCTGCCTGTAGGATACTAGGGTAAGTGCCCATTGGTTCGGAGTAATTAGCTCTCGGCGCAAACACTCCGATCCCTGTTCCCGTATTGGTTTTGGAAGCATCAGTATACCAAGTTATGGTATGGTCTTTTAACTGCTGGGCAAGCGTTTCGCTCTTCCAATCCTTCTTATTGCTCAATACTACATTGACATGTTTGTCAAAGTTGTACGTTCTTGGCATATCGTCCATTGGGAGTTGCAGAAGTTAGAGAGTAGATAGAAAGTTGCGGTTTGCGCTGATATTTTGGAAATTTTGTGCTCTATTAACTGTGCAAAGAGAAACATAGCCTCCTATTTAATTTTTTTACGCTAAAGCGCAATATCTGTTATGATGTAAAAGAGAGCCCTCTAGCTACCACGAAAAAATTTTTTTTTTCGTGGTAGCGAAACGTTTAAAAAAAACTCGTTTAAAAAAAACGCTCTTTTAAACGAGCCCTAGTTTGTTTAAATCGGCTAACCTAAACCAGAGTTATCATTATTTTAATAAAAGCAAATTTAACCTTCCCCCACCACTTTATTTTATGAGATAGAGCAAAATACTCTATATCAAAAAAATTACAAATTTCTCGATGATTACAATAGTAATCTTTAAAATACCTGTTCACCTGCATATTTTTGAGAAAAACCCAGTTTTCTGACTGGCTATTAGAGAAACGCCCCCTAGCGGGCATTTTTCGAACTGGAAAATAATTTCCAGCCATTTTTCGTGGTCGATTTACTTATTAGAATTTTTTTCTAATAGAAGTTATACGATAAATAGTTTCTGAGATACAGCCAGCTTCCATTCTTAGTTGGCCACCCGGTACATCAAAATTTTAATGTGACCGTTTTTCGTGCCGTTGAGTTTGCGTATTTTTCCCATACGAATTTCGATAGTAGGGACAGCTTAAAAAAATCAAAAAAAAATCGATAATTTATAACAGAGTTAACATATCGGCTGTAAGTCCGGATCGATCGATAATGCAAACGGGCGTAAATAAAGCGGAACGGCCCGTGTATAAACGGCAAGTTCCAGGCTGGATTTACGGCCGGCGATAAAATTCGGCTCTGTCCTGACGACCGGCCGCCCGGTAAGTAAATCATGAATCGGGGACGTTTCAATTTTAAAATTGCCGCCACCTATCTGGGGAATCGAATAACTTTCGGACCGAATTGAAAAAGTCGTTTTTTTGTCCACTTTTAGACCATAAATACTCACTAGATACACGGTCCAATATCATATATGATCTATGGTGGAAAGATATCTGAAAGCATAAGCCGCAATGCAACCCACCAAGTAATTGTCTTAACAAGAACTAAGCTGGAAATATAAAAAATAAGAAGAGAGAAAGAAGTATCTGCAAAGTATTTTTTCGAGTCTCAAAAGTGACTCACCCCTATAACTTTTTTATTTTTTCAGATAAAAAAACGAAATGTGGTATGTTAGTATATGACATAAATTAGGATTGATTGACGTATTCATTGTTTTGGTCACTTCCTGTTTCACAGGAAATGACTACAACTTTTGATTTTTAAATGGCACCTTAGGTATTTTTTTACTTTATTCGATAGAAAATGACACTCTGAGTAGAATGACATACCATATGTCAACTTTTTCGCATATATGGTTTATTTGAAATTATAACTTGCGGTTAATAACGAAAATTTGACTCGAAATACCAAGTGTGTGGTATCAAATTATTTGTAAAAAAATGCTTTTTCGAAATATGTATGCTAATCAGCCACCCTCGTTCCATTTGAAAGAATTGAGATATGATTAAAAATATGATTTGAGCATTTTCTAACTGGTTACCCATATAACACACAATATCCGCAGGATATTCATAGAATGTCGGAATGTCCCATTATAAGATCATCTTAGAAAGACATCTATAGGATATCCTCCAGACATTACGAAATCCTGTAGATGTCTCAGAATAGAATATCCTATGGATATATCTGTCGTATATCTAAGAGATATCCAAACATGCTCATGATAATAAAATATCCTAACAATATCGTCTAGATATTTAGGAAAAATAAATAATGTACTACTTTTTATATTACATAAAATGCAATAAACCATACAGATAGATGATATATATTACGTCAAGGCAACAAAATATCCTGTTGGTATCTTCTGGATAATCTGGATATTTATGAGCTTGGCCACTCCCAGTAATACAGAGAATTTAAAACGCCCGCGCAAAAAATTTCCCACAATCCATCTCGACAGTTGTTTGTTTTTGCATCGTGTATTATTCAGTTCTTTGATTTAGTGAAATCAAAGCTTTTAGTGAAATGGGCTTAAAAATGACTGAAACTAACAAAACTGGTTGAGTTTGACTTAGTTTTTTCTTATACTCATAGTTCTAGCCTTCTTCTTCTTCTTCTTTTTTTATGATGGCTCTGCTACAAGGCAACCGCCAGCTCAATTTGGGAGTGACCAAGATGTTGACTGGCTCTAAACCATATCAAGGCCACTGATTCTTATCTGAGTAAAATGTATAATGGGTAAATTTTAATATAACCAACTTTTATGAAGGTAACCTGTGACCTGTGACTGTAAAATGTTATTATTATTATTTATTAAATATATAAATGACGTGCTGAAAGGAAGATTATATCACACACAAAGGCACATAGGATAGAGGTCACACAAACAGACTGCATTCGGAAACTGAAACAAAAAGAAAATAAAAAATAGAAAGTTGAGCATTATAATTTAATTCTATTAATGTTTAAAAATATCATAATAGTTTCTATTAATTTTTCACTTGGCTTAGACAAAACTGTAAATATTGATAGTGGAGTAGGAAAATTCATTTCAATAAATTTTTGATATAAATCCAAATTAAACAAAAAATTTATAGGACATTCTAAAAAGATATGATTTAGGTCTTCAACAGAGCCACACTCACAGAATGGATCTTCCTTCACTTTAATTTTATATAAATGGTTTTTTGTTAAGCAATGGCCTGTACGCATTCTAATTAACGTTGTAATATGTCTTCTATCGTTCTAGCAGAAATTCTATCCTAACCTCAACTAATGTCGAAAAACGACCAACGACTCAGGGTCTCACAATGAAAAATTTGTGACAAAATTATAGGTGAAAATTTGTTGAAAAGCGCTTGTTCTTTATCCCTAAACCCATTTTTGTGTTTGATGTATTCAAACAGAAATCCTATTTTTGTGTTTAAATTGTGAGTTTCTGGAATGTGTGGTGTTAGAAATTATACCTGTATCATATGTGCTAATTTTGATGTAAACTGTTGCTGCTAGACTCTATAAAGGGTATTATAATCTGGTATAATACCATACGATCGAAAAAAACGGCGTCAGAGGTGGCTTGGAAATGAAGATTGCTGTTATTTTGTATGTAAAATTATATGGGGAATGTCATCGATCGTAATTTTCAAGCCAATTGAACGCCGTTTTTTTTCGATGGTACAGTATAAATTGAAAGCTCATACAAATAAACTTCTAAATTTTGACGCAAAATTCGTTGACATAATATGTAGGTATATTTTAGAGCTGTTAATAAAAATATCCAATGAATAACGTCAACATGTGGCTAAATAAAACTAAATCGCGAACGTTTTTACTATAAACTAAAGATGAAGTAAGTACTGTCAAATAACAGTCCTCATATAATGTCCTAAAAATATTCTATAATGTTATTCAAATAATCGTAAAAGGCTTGCCTAGGGATGTCTTGAAGATGACTTTTTTTGTCCCATCTGGATATCCCATAAATATCCTCCTCTGGTTATTGGATATCTCTAAGATATTTACTATATCCTTGGTGGATATCCTCAAGATAGCTATAGGATTGTGTTGTGTTATATGGGTAGGATAAGGCACTAAAAACATTAGATTATCCAATCTATTTTTCCAAGGCTCCTTGATTAAGAATTAGTGTTTTTAACATAGCCATAGCACTCTAGATTGAATTTTAAAATACGATTTTTTATTAAGCGAGAATGTCAAAAGTTGACAGGTGGTATGTCATTCTATTCAAAATGTAATTTTCTATCGAATAAAGTAAAAAAATACCGAAGGTGCCATTTAAAAATCAAAAGTTGTAGTTATTTCCGGTGAGACAGGAAGTGACTAAAAACAATTGAATACGTCAATCAATCCTAATTTATGTCATATACTAACGTACCAAATCTCGTTTTTTATCTAAAAAAATATAAAAGTTATAGGGGTGAGCCACTTTTGAGACGCACCCGGTTTGATTGGCTATCTTTTTCCATTTGTTTCTGTCCTTCGCCTTTATTCTACACCCATCCACTCTTATATCTTTCTCAAGTCCTTTTCAACATCCTTTCTCCATCTAGTTCTCGGTCTACCTCTCCTTCCCTTTCTACCTATTTTACGTTTATTTATCATACCAGAAACTCTTGCTTCAGCCATTTTTTCAATGTGTAACAGCCATCTCAGTCTTTGTGCCGTTATACTACCGTTACACTCGGTGCCCGATATCTTCTTCTTATCCCATACAGCACATCAAATCACATTTACGATGTGTTTGGTTTGGTTTTACATTATTAGATGTAGACACAGGGTGACACAATTCCCCCGATGTAAATATGCGACGTTTACACATTGTAGTTCAACACGTATGCACAAAGGTTAAACGTCCTCCTCACAATGTAGCCACAGTATAGCATTTACGTATACACAAAGTAAGGGATACACAGTGTGCCGTAGGATACACAGTGCTTGTGTATTACGTTTAAACTCTGTTTACACATTGCAGTTGTGACTACTGCGTGTATATGTATGTATTTTACTGCGTATATTCATCTTGTGCTAGATAAAACTACTTCTTATGAACGAATTTAGGAAATAATACAAGTTTTGATGCTTAACTTTTCGTTCTTTTTAAGAAATATTTATTCAATGATACCAATTATATCTTTTTAGAACGAAAATTAGGAAGGCAAAACTTTGTATTTTCCAAAAGTATCTCGATCGTAAGTCCAAGAGAAGTAGCCTTAAAATTGTTCCATTTTTGTTTTGTATTAAGTGTACCATTTTTCTTCCATAAAATGGATTAAGTGGTTAAAAATAAAATTCTTATATTTCTTTATATCATGGAACGCAATAGCGCAAATAACACAATAATAATAATTATTTACACTGCAGAAACCAGAAGTAAGAAAACACTGTAAAAGAACAGAATTAATATCAAAATGTATTAAAAATATAAGTAGGTACCTAGTATAACAACATACTAAAATGGTAAACACTGGTATATTGCCACACCTGGTATATGGTGGACCTCGTTTAGTCATTTTTTCTCTTCTTTTCCCTCCAAGCAGTTGGTTTGTTAGCATACTCATTCATCGAGATTAACAATCTCAGATTAACAATCTCACCCTTAAATTTTACGTGAAACTGATTATTGAATATTAAACATACCTGTATATTGATCCATCAATAACTTACCGAATATCAGTGTAAAAAGTTCTTTGAAGTGTTTAAATTTTTCTTTCTCTGGTCCATTTAGATTTTTGTTACTTCTAAATTAAAAAAAATATATATTGCAGAGCTAACCTCTTTATCATTATACGAGAATATTTGGAGTTTGCATTCATTGGAGTCGCTGTTATAATATTAATATTACTCTTAGAAAGGTCTAACAAGGTAATTAAAAACTTGTGCTTACCTTAAAATCTCTTTTAAACTACACACAAACAGAACATTTATATAGAGCTTCCGAATGATAAAACAATAATGGCTGCTAACGCATACCACTCCTAGAAAGGAGAAAGGAGAGAGGACACATAAGATACATTTGGTCGGTGTCTCTACGCTTATTTCATGCTAGAATGTAGACACAACAGTACACTATTACAAAGTGTCTATATAGAAATTTATATTATATGTATACGTCACATTTTTACAAGGTATATACTATAGGCACAACTATGATACGAAGTATCACACATACATATGACATATACATTGTATGTCTCATATACCGACGTCAGATTTCATCATTTTAATAATTATTTGTTAAGTTACAAAAAACTCTTTAGAATCTTGAGTGCATACGGTATACAACTAGTAAACACTGTATCACACAATTCTACCAATATAAACCTGCGTTAAAACTTAAACCACTACAAAACCGTCTTAGATATTGGCTTTTTTCAAAGCCCTGAGACTGTACGATAACTCAAGAAAAGGGGACAAAATATTCTGAGATCAAAACTTAATTCATGTCAGTTGCATATGACCCCAGCCGTGTCTAGGTATTTTATAGTCTAAACTCCCACCCACTCTATAAAGTTTTTCTTTCAATCTATACGTATATATTTGGGAAAGTTAGGAAATTTTTACGTGTGCTCCGGGAAGTTTTTCCCGATTTCTTCGAAACTCGTACAATCCGGCAAGAATACGATTTTTCAAAATCGCATAATAGAATTTTCCAGCTATTCAGCTCACTTAAATCCAGCCGGAATCAAAAGTTTCCTTTATTTTTTTTCTTGTACAATCCCAAAACCAACTATAGGGTGTTTTTTCCTCAATAACAAGGGGCCGCACTGTGGTTCAAATTAGCCTCGTAGCGCGAATTAAGTCGTTATGTTGAAATTTGTTTTTTGTCCAAAATTTATTATTATTAGAAAGATAAATACTTATCGGATATACCCTCATCGAAAACAAAAAAGAAAACACTGATAAGACTAGTTTTTGCACCCACGAAATGGAACCTACTCGTCCTTTGCATTTTGAGATTTTTATCGGTCAAAAGTTTTGTATTTGTTCAAACCCGTTTCAACGTTCGATAGTGGTGCAATGAGTTATATTGTGATAAATCATTTATAAGTAAAATATTTGTGATTATGGCTGATGATCGAGGTGAGTTCAATCCTCAGGTGGTAATTAGTTTTTATTAAGCCCCAATTTTTCTATAATATTTTTATATATAAGGGACGGAAAAAAAGGCACGCTTTGGCACCTCATGTTACCTTTTTCGTTAGATACCCCAGTATGTTAGCTTTAAAATAAAATATGTTTCATTATATCCTGGCGTATCCGCAATAGTTTTTTTTTTCTTGTTTTAGAACATAAATCCATATCTAATATGGAAATCTACGAGCACTGGTTGAAATTCAAGCATCTTGGAAGATAATCATGCTGCGATAATATTGAAAAACGCCTTAAAATAAATAGCATCCGAAAAACTTATGAAAAGGTAATAAAAAGTTTGAAAAACTTGGAAAAGCGGTGGAAGGCTAGCCAGTGCACCAAAAGCATTATGTTAAAACATCATCATTTTTTTGGAAACCTGGAGTACGATTGCAAAAATTTAATGTGTTTTGTATTATTTACTTTCCTTTATAAAATAGAATTACGTTTTTTTATAGGTAAATTATTGATATTTATAAAATTTGTTTTTTACCCATTTTCAATAATTTATTCTAGTTAATCTATGAATTTAAATTATTTTTTTATTTGTATTGAAATTAATTAGACTGTAAACTTCATTTCACGAGTAATTATTGGTCTTAACAATTATTGATAGAAAAGTCATTTTCCAATAATTATAGGTTATAAAACTCGGCTCTAAATACTTTATATTTATTTTTTATGGCAAGACCATTCTTCGTGAGGTACTTATACTGTATAAAACAGTATTATTTTTATGTTATGTCCCTTAGGTTTAGATTAGTTTACAATGATATTATTTAATTTCTTGTTATTATTTTTCTGTTTATCGTTTTTAAGTAGAAAATTATTAAAAGTTATCTATTTGGTTAATAATTTGTTAATTTTAAAAAATACGATTCTGTTATAATATTTATAATGTTGATTGCTAAAACTTTACTATGGGTTTATTAAATACGAATAGTTACATATTATTATTATCTTGATTGAGATTTTTTTAATAAAAACCAAATTATAGATTTTCAACTACTGACAAATAAGATTTTGGTAGGACATTACTCAATTTTGTGTTTCATTGCGAGCAATATTATTTTTATACTTAATA